TGAAATAAAAATACATTAAACTTACTTGAATCTGTTCTTCATATAATGGTAGTAGCAGTGGTTAGCAAATATGGAGTACTTTTCGCATTGCTTTTCGCATTTATTACAAGTGTACACAATGTCTAAATCGCCATGTTTCAGAGAGAAGTGAGCGTCGAAAGCCAAACGGTTTTTATGCACGGTGAAGCAGATGCAGCAAGATATACCACCAAGGTTTTCTATGATATCATCAGGAGGTATTTCTTCACCATTTAAACTTGTCTCAACATTATCCTCATCTTTAAAGTGCTGTCTGAGATGTAGAACTGCTTCATGTTTCTTGGTTTCGTTTTTACCGCAGATAGGGCACATGTATATGAAGGAGGAATGTAGACTGATGTGGTCCTCGCAGCTGTCCACACTGTTGATTTGTTTGTTACACGACTGACAATTGTACGGCGGATTGTCGGTGTTATGAACAATCTGATGGATCTGCCGTTCTTTTTTTGAATTAAAACTGTGGATGTACAAATAATTTATTTTGTATTACTTTGACATGTGGTTATTTATGGAATAGTACTAGTAGTACTAGTAGTACAACCATGTCTCATGCTCATCTACTGATGAGCATGAGACATGGTTGTTGTTTGTGGTCGGATGGGTCATTTGCAAACCTTCACGGAGTGGCTGATATTAAAAAAATTAAAAATATTTTTTTTTTCAGTAAAGTAAAAATAAACTAGAACCCACTTAGTAAAACAGAGAACTTACTTTTTGTTGCACGAGCGACAATTAAACTTATGCTGTGTATTGATATGTTCTTTTAGAGCTATAAATTTTGAAAACTCCTTATTACAATGGTCGCACCTAAAACAAGATGTATTATATCAATTTAAGCTCCCACACTCTCCGCTTTTCAGTTTTCCACGTCTAATGTGACTTAATTGTAACATTTCTGATAATTTATTTGCATAACTTACTTGAATTTACTTTTTATGACATGCTTGGTGTAACAATGTCCTCGGAAGCTGGGGTAGCCGGAGATGCTCTGGTTGCACACTACGCAGGTGTACACTATGACTGCATTATTGCTCTCGTGTTTAATATAGTGAGTGTCATAATCCTTTTTGTTCTGGAACCTTGACTGGCAGATGTGACAATTTATGCCTCCAACTATCTCAATTGTGGTAAGCTTTTTGCTCTGCTCTGTTTTGCTAGCTGAATCCAAATGGGTGGGTGAAGCCATTATTGTGTTCCTAAGTGTGATCCATTTATTGCATATATCTATGGCTATGTCATATGGATGTACATAATGCAGCTATTGCAAACATTTTATTCTCCTATTGTTCGCGCCTACATGTTTCTTTTATTGTTTTTGGCCTGGAAACAATTATGTTTACTTTATAAGTTTCACAAATAGTAACACATTTAGTTTTATTAAAGTAATGATATATAAAAGTGGAAATATTCCTAATCATTTAAAATGTAACCGGCTAACGCCATCCGATTGAAAGCAAGGTCAAATTTCATTCATAAACTTGCAAAAATAATTTACATAAGTTGAAGGCAACGCATTTCATTGAGTCGTATTTGTACATCGCCACGATGATAAAACTGGCTTCTGCCTAATAAAAATCAATGGAGTTCATAAAGTTCGACTGATAAAAATATGACAAAATCGAAATAAGCATTGATTAAGTTTGTGCTAAGCGCGACCTTGGCAGAAAATTATGCAAAAGAAAAAATAAAACGTTAATATATTCGATTTTAAAACTTCGTCACATCAGGATGAAATATTTTATTCTCTACAGCGCCACATTTATACACAGAAATCGATTTTCGTGAAAAACAATTGTCATCGAAAATCAGCTCTTTATAATTAACTTCTCCTTTGATCATTATTTAACGTTAATATTTCGTACAAGTTTATGATTTACACTCACAATATTGGATGAAAGTTGATAGATGGGCATCGGACACAAGCACAACGTTACATTTTATGAAATAAAGATAAAACTGTTAAAAATTTAACACCGGACGACAAACAACGCCAAGAAAACGTGTGAACGTTTGAATGTGTGTGTGAATATTGCATTTGATTTGACAGCTGTGTGTATGGTGTTTTTGCATGTGTGACAAAAATCGATTTTGAAACCGGTTACGCCAAAGACAAAAAAATTGAGATTTCTACAAAATGGCAAAATACCTTTAGTTCTAAGTAAGTCAAATATTGTAGTATAGTACTGGAAATATAACAAATATATTTAGCATACAATTTCTTTTAAAGATGAAACTGTAAGACCTGAAAAAAGATATATTGATGTTCACTTTAACATACTAAAATGAATAATAGTATAAAAACAACTAAATCAGGGATTGTAGTTTTACATTGCTGTAATGACAGTTTAAGTTTGATTTTGAATTATTTAGAAGTTCCAAAACTTATACTTTCGTTCATATTCTTCTGCTAATTTGTTTTCAGACGTTTTCACTTTTCTAAATCTCAATTGTCAACGTCAACTTCAAAAACCAAAATGTCTTTTTAAAAAGATACAAAATCCCGAAATTCAGAAAAAATATTGACTTAAAAATAGCTTCTTGATTGGTTGTATTAATATCCTCATGAAAATAAAGCAAAACTGCAGCAAATGTTGAAATAAGCATAAAACAATGGTATCACCATATTTTTATAATACATGTTATTGAAAAATGAAAAGACATTGATAGTGTTATCTTATTTTATTTCGTGGTAAGTATTATAATTTTTACTATAAATTTACGTTGAATTTTTAATTACATTAAAAATTTAAATCAAAAGCATTTAGTACACAAAGAACATTTGCGTTAAAACCGAAGTGATTTTATTGTTCCTTCCCTTTCGAAGAGCTAATATTTTATCGAGTAGTTTATCAAGTATGATTTTTCAATCCAGTCCAGTATAGTCCAGCTTATGTTTTGTAATCAACAGCTGTTTCTGGCTGCGTGCCAATTGAATCTAAAAATAACTCACGATTCGCTTATTCACGCGTTTCTCCAATTTGTTCCTATTTATCGCGAGTATCAAAGTTTAAAATAGTGATAATGGATCGCCAACATTCAAGTCTTCATGGATCTTTTAGAAGTAAAGATTCCTCATCCACTACAGGAAGTGATCCAAGAGAGAAAATTAAAGACTGTCTAAGAAAATTCATTGCTTTTATGTTTACACAAGTGGGTGTCGGTGCCTTGGTTGTTTGCTATGCTATACTAGGTGCAGCTAGCTTTATGCATATAGAAAAAGATAGTCCTGATGAGCAGTTGGAAAATGTTAAACAATGGAGAAAAAGCTGCGCAGAGGAACTTTGGAATATAACCGTAAACAATAACATATTCAATGAGACCGCTTGGGAAATAAATATAAACAAAGTGCTGAAAGTTTTTCAGAGTAATATAACAGGAGCAGTACATACAGGCTACAATGGCAGGTCTGCAGAAGATATCTGGTCATTTCCTGCAGCACTAATGTACTCATTATCAGTGTTTACGATGATTGGGTATGGAAATATAATACCAAAGACTGTTTGGGGTAAAATTGTTACTATAGCCTATGCATGCTTTGGTATACCGATATATATTTTATATTTCTGCAATATGGGCAAAGTTCTTGCACAGTCATTTAAATGGCTTTATATAACTGCTCATGAATGTAGCAGACGAGAAGATGCTATGTTTGAAGAAGGAGAGATACAACAGATTAAACGTAAAATTACAGTACCATCGACAGCTTGTCTTTGGGTGATATCTTTTTATATATTATCTGGAACAATTATGTTTGGTGCTTGGGAGAAATGGAATTATTTAGACTCGACATACTTCTGTGTGATCAGTTTGTGTAAGATTGGGTTTGGTGACTTTGTTCCTGGAGCTAATATCACGGATTCAGCAGGAGGCTCTCATTTGAAGTTGGTTATTAATTTCATATATGTTCTACTGGGTATGGGTCTTGTTGCGATGTGTTATAACTTGATGTGCGAGGATGTGAGAGTCAAGGTGCGGGAACTGAGAGAAGATCTCAAAAATTGTTTGGATGATATCACACTAAAGATTACTGTATGTATGAATGATACGAAATATTACCATCAGAAGCAAACACGTCATATAAAGTAATGTGAATTAAAAATCTAGAATAAATGAACATTTTTTTATATGAATAAACATATGTTTATTTTTAGAAATACTTTACTATGTCAAATTTGTAATGTTAAGAAGTCACATTTGTTTTAAATCTAAACTTTATAATGTGTAAGGTATTATCATAAATTTTATATTAATAAATTATTTTATCCATTTAATTTGTATTATTTATTGTTTATTTAGTTTACTGTAGATAAAAGGAAATCTTTCCTTAGGTAGAAGTTAATAGGCATTGGTACAAAATTGTATTATACAAAATAGTTATGGTTAAATAAAGAATTATTGCTTTTTATTTATTTATTATTGGTCTTAATTTAAAGCAATACTATTGTTTGTCCGATTTGCATTTTGTAGCATCGATGTTCTAACGTGGCAAATGCGTCCGCTGCGTTTGCGACGTGTGGTGGGGCTGGAGGGGCGCGCCAATGACGTCGTGTTCTGCCCCGCGCCCCGCCCCGTCACACCCCCACAAAAACTCGGTGCGCTTGTCTTCTTTGGTGGGGATGTACAGGTGAACTTGCTTTGGTACATTATATTTTCTATTTGTACATTGGTTGCTATATGAAAATATGTGTACAGGATTATCCTGAAATAATGCAAGCGCATCGAGATTATCGAAACTATTTAAAATACAACTTGGAGAACACGGCGCGCATCCTCGGACACAGCTTCCCTACCAAACATATATTGGTTGTGAGACCCTCTAGGTATGTTCACTACGAAATGCATAGCTTAAAAATGAAATCCGACTCGAAGGACCATTTTTTAAACTTTAAAAATAAATTTTAGAATTCGTTTGTATGTATCTAACAGGATAGAGTACAAAAGTTTTAGCTGCTTCGACAACTTCGTGCCCGGCAATAGCGCCGGCGTGCCCGACCACGCGCCTACGCACAATGCCCTACTCCACCTTGAGAGGTACAAACACTTTAGCAGCGAGTTA